AGGAGCGAAAGCTGCACAAAAAGAAACTTACGAAAAGTCTCCGCAAGGACCGTGAACAGTGGTGGTTGACAAAGGCGAAAGAGATGGAAAAAGCATCGGCGATAGGCAACACCAGACAACTATTCAGGCTTATCAGGGAAACAGGTGGTAAAAGGCAAATGATAAGCGAAACAATCTTCGAGAAAAATGGCACCTTAATTAGCTCCCAGGATAGACGTCTGGAGCGCTGGAAAGAACACTATGAGGAGCAGTTTAATTGGCCCACAGCCACACTTAACCTACCGGACATCCAACACCTCCCTGAATGGGAGATAGACACAGGTCCTCCGTCCTTAACTGAGGTTACTAAAGCTGTCACCAATCTGAAGCTAGGCAAAGCAGCGGGACCTAATTTATTGACTCCAGAGGTATTTAAGTACGGAGGAGACAGTTTACTGTCTGCGTTAACGGAGGTCCTAGGCAGCGTCTGGGAATCAGAGGAAGTCCCATCGGGTTGGTGTAAGTCACTGATCATCCCGATATACAAGAAGGGAGACAAGTCTTCTTGTGATAATCACAGAGGGATTAGCTTGACTAATATAGTATCTAAAATCCTAGGCTCAATAATACTGCGTAGATTAAGTGGTGCTCGGGAGGCACAAACACGAGAAAACCAGGCAGGTTTTAGGCCAGGTAGAGGGTGTATTGATCACATCTTCACCCTTCGACAGATTCTAGAACATAGGCATTCCTACCGGCGTCCGACAACCATTATATTTCTTGACCTAAAGGTAGCATTCGATTCTGTCGACCGGGAGGTTCTCTGGCGATGCTTGGCTGTAAAGGGAGTGCCAAGAAAATACATTGCACTGATTAAGGCACTCTACTCGTACTCATGCAGCCAGGTGAGGGCTTATGGAGAGTTGTCATCTGAAGTGGTGACGACTAGTGGCGTCCGTCAAGGATGCCCATTATCCCCATTCCTATTCAATTTCATCATAGACGTACTAATGGACTTAACCCTATCACACTTCAGCGACTCAGGGATTGACTTGCTACCAGGGAATAATCTCGTTGACTTAGAATATGCGGACGATATAGTCCTTCTAGGGGAGGACTCTGACAAAATGCAGAGTCTACTGAACACCCTGAGCAACAATCTCCGTATGTTTGGCATGCAACTCGCCCCTGTTAAATGTAAAATGATGCTGCAGGATTGGACTTCATCGACCCCTAGATTAGAAATAGGAAGTGAAGTGGTAGAACACGTTGACCGCTTCACTTACTTGGGAAGTACCATCAGCCCCAACGGGTTGATCTCAGACGAAATTTCAGCACGAATACAGAGAGCTAGTTTCGCATTCGCCAGTTTTCGCCGTCTCTGGCGTAGACGCGATATCCGACTATCGACCAAAGGGCGTGTGTATTGCTCATCAGTCCGCTACGTCCTCCTTTATGGCTGTGAGACCTGGCCATTGAGAGCAGAAGACATGAAAAGATTATCTGTGTTTGATCATAGGTGTCTGCGCCCTATCTCCCGCGTGAAGTGGTATAATAAGGTGAGCAATATTGAGGTTAGGCGTCGAGTGCTAGGTAAAGCGGGGAAATCAATCGATGAGACTGTGAAATTACATCGACTGAGATGGTTAGGACATGTGTTACGTATGCCTAGTCATCGCCTCCCTCGACGGGCAATGTTAGCTGACATAGGGCCAGGCTGGAAAAGAGCTAGCGGCGGTCAAACCAAAACATGGCACCAATCAATGAAATCCACAACAGTTAGTCTAAGTCACGTAGGGAGATGTAGACTTCCTGGTTGGGGTCCTCGGGATGGTAAAAACAAATGGTTGGAAACAATTGGTGACATGGCTCAAAATCGTTCTCAGTGGCGCAGATGCATCCACTCCTTGTGACTTATGATTTCCGATGAAACTGTTTTGTTCTTCGTTATTACTACTCCTTTGTCTCACACCTCTGTTTACTGTCTCTAATATGCTTTTCTCCTACTCTCTTCTCTTTCTTTGTGTGCTACATGGAGTATGGCGACTTGAACTGCCGCACATCAGTGCAAAGTTCTATGTCGAAAACAGACAGACAGACAGACAGGTATCAGTGCTTTCTCGGATATTCTTTGCTCAATCTTTTCTCCTTCTTCTTCTAACTGTCTAAATGGAGATTTCCACGATATTGAAATCTTCCTCGGATAATCAGTGGTGGTAGACAAGTGGTTGTCAACGTACTTGTGAAGTTTTTGTCCTATTTCTTCTGTTTTGTCTGTCCAGCTATGTGGAGATTTCATCATGGGCTAAAAGGATGTCTGACTTTTATCAACTGATACCAGTTGTTTTACAATAATAATAATAATAATAACAATAATAATAACAGTAGGTTTGTTTAAAACAATATTGTCATTACAGTTTGTAGAAATCTTGGCATGTTATGCAGTATTGAATTTAATGTTCTTTTGACATAGCAGCATAGTGGGGGGGGGGGGGTAAACGAAAAATAACAGCTACTACAGAGCTTAAATGGTGTTTACAATTGTAGTAAAAAAATGAGAGGACTATAAATATAGGAGCAATAATAACAGTAAGAGTTGATGGTATAAGGACGAAGGAAATTGTTTATTTACTAGTGGAAAGAAAGTTAGTTAATTAGTTCGTGCCTGATACTATTTCCATCACATAAAATACGTGCACAGCATGGTATCGTGGAATTTTTATGCTTAGACGTGCACGCATAAAGTCTCTTGAAGTGACTTCTTGTTCTACCTGAGGAGATACAAGGTGAAAGGTGAGGGTAAAGTGGATATTGACAGTCTGACTAAATCACTTTAGCGAATTTTTTGCATGAAATCAAGTGCTTATCAATGACGATGTCAACGACATAGCCCAATGGGATACCACTCGCCCTACTGACAGTCTTCTGAGTTCTATGAAGTGTGACACAGTCCTTTTGAAGCATTCCAGGAAAGAATAAGGGGAAACAATAAAGAAGAATAGGTAAGATGAAATAGTTGACAAATTATAAGAGAAGGGGTTAGTGGAGTTATGCCTAGAGTGTCTTAACTTCTTAATGTAAGGAGGTAGACGGAATATTTTACTAGAAATCGCTGAGAAGTGGGAAGACCAGGATAGACCAGGCGGAAATATGAGTCTAAAGTACTTAACGCCAGACTTGATTTCTGTGTCAGTATTATCAATTTTGCAACGGTCGTGGGAATTAACAGCTTCACATAACTTTCTTTTACAGCGGAAACTGAATTTATTTTTTTTATTTGATTTACAGCTTGATTCCACACCGTATTTTCAGTACAAGTATGGAATTTTCAGCATGGATATCGGTTGCCCAAATTCAGGCATACCATAGATATCGGGTGTGCGCCGGCAGGGGATCGAACCCCGGACCATGTGCATGGTCGGCGAGAGTCCTAACCACTGTGCCACTGACGCACACATTTGGAAGTTTAAAACCATTTGATGAAGACCCGTTTGCTAACTCCTGATAGAAAGCCATTCATCTTAGTACAGCCTATCTGGAAGTTAACAGGCACTGAGACAGTTAGATCGTCCGCATACTTAGTAAAGTTCTTTTCATCAAAGTGAAGCAAGTCATGCAAGAAGAAAGGAAACAGAAAAGGAGAAAGAAGAGCACCTTCAGGGACGCCAGCCGTAGTAAGCAATGAATTGGACGACTTCCCCTGACATACAGTGTACTGCTTTCTTCCTGAGCAATAAGAATGCAGCTGTTTGACAACTCAACACTCATTTTGAGTTTCAACAAGCTTATTTAACAAAATATCCCTAGGTACCATCGAGTGAAAAGCAGATGTGTCTAAACTAGAGACGATGTTGTTATGCAAGACTGCAGTTGCATCTAAAGTACTTCTACTATGTTTGTAGGCAAATTGTTTGGAATCAGTAAAGGCTTTAAATGAAGGTTCAAGATTAAGTCAAAGCACCTTTTCCATAGTTAAATTTAACACATGTCCCAGTAGATGACTTTGGTATAGGCATAACTTTAATGTCTTTCCAAACGGCTGGCACAATATTTCTGGTAAAATATTCTTAAAATGTATCAGTGAGAGGATAACATAAGATATCTGCATATTTTTTAAGACTTTGAGAAGAGTTGATGATATCTAAAGAAAAAATCTATTGATATGATATCATTCTATTTCACAGGTTCTCATCAGCTGCAAACTACCTGAAATTACAATGATTATAAATTATAAGATTTCATACTTCATTGTTTGACAGGTAACAGAGAAGACATTATAAGATTAACGTTTCCGGAATATAACTATTACAATTTATAGTTTAAGTTACCATTAATTTATATACTATCAAACTATGAAAAAACAGAAAGGAAGGGGGGTGAGAGAAGACAGAAAAATCTAATAAAAAGTGTTAGCTTGCACATCAACATAGCAACTCAAGAAGGTCAAAGTTCATCAATTTGAAAACTTGCTTAGTGACCTGAGCTCACTAGTGTGCATGACTAACCAGTGTAATGAAAGTGACATGGTTACCAAGGGAGTGAGAGATTGATTAAACTCTCTTTCTGTGTGCATAAGTTTGGTCTGAGACATTTGATTGCAATTGCTTCATCAAATCGTAGTAGATTCGCTGTCCTTTGTATGCTTAATATGTTTTTTCATAGTTTGATAGTATATAAATTGATGGTAACTTAAACTAAAAAGTATTGTAATACTTATATTCCGGAAACGTTCATCTTATAATGTCTTCTCTATTACCTTTCAAACAATGAAGTATGAAATCTTATAATTCATAACCATTGTAATTTCAGGTAGTTTGCAGCTGACGAGAACTTGTGAAATAGGATGATGATATTATTTTATACTGCAAATCTGGTCTTTCTATTTCGATCGAAATTTATCAAGGGAACCAAATGTATGAAGAAACTATTAAACAGAACGTTGACTGCATAGCTTTATTCTTTCGTAACCTTTGTCTCTTTCAAGTATTATTCTGTACTCTTCTTTTATTACTTCACTCAAGGTTTCCACCATCTCGAGCTGCATTCATTCTCAATCAATTTGCTCAACTTGGCACTATTGAAAAACATGTGGTAAGTTGATTTTTGTCATAGTATAATTACTATGAGGTGAAAAGCTTTCAGACGTTGTTTTATATATATATATATATATATATATACATATATATATATATACATATATATATATATATATATATTCTCGATTTGGATTACAATATCCATAAATAACGGTTCCTAGCTATTAAAGTCCTTCAGATTGATTATTAGTGGTTTCATGGATCAGTGTTCATTCATTCTATGATTATCTGAGGAGTAATCACCAGATGTTGATTGCCCGGGGATTCTAAAAACCAAATGGTTGGAGACTTGTAATAATAATGTGGCTCAAAATTGTTCTCAATGATGCGCTCAGATGCATTCAGTTTTCGTCAACTCCTAGATCCATTCAGTTCTTATATTCTCGTATGACACGGTAGATGAAAAGAGATTTGGTAACAGAATGTTTATTTGGAATTTGATGTCTTTATGATATAGGGAAGTTATGTACACCGTCTTATATGAAAATTGTCACTTGCACAGATCTTCCGGGGTGTGCTACTCCTACCCTTCGTATTGTGTTTGTTTGTCTTGTTTTCACTTGCCCTCTCTAATGTAAAATCTATCTCTCGGCTATTTGATATTTTTCTGCCAATGAACGTCTCTTTATATACTACTGATATGTTTTGTCAGTAGAACACGTCACTTTAATGTTGTAGCAGTTGTCATTTGGGCAGATCATTAGCAGGCGTTCATTTTCGTTATGTTTGTGCAGTTGATTTTAATAGTTATTGTTTAATGATGTATCTGGGTATTGTTTTGTTAAAGGCTGACTGGCTGGTTTCGCGGTAGAACTTTGCACCGATGTGCAGCGGTTCAAATCGCCACACTCCATGTAGCACACAAAGCAAGAGAAGAAAGTAGAAGAAATGCAAAATAGAGACAGTAGACAGAGATATGAGACAAAAGGAATAGTAATAACGAAGAACAATATCGTTTCATTGGAAATTATAAGTCACAAGGAGTGGATGCATCTGCGCCAGCCATTGAGAACGATTTTGTGCCAGCCATATTACCAATTGTCTCCTGCCATTGGTGTTTACCGTCCAGAGGACCCCAACCAGCCAAGAAGTCTACACCTTCCTATGTGGCTGAAACTAACTGTTGTGGATTTCATCGACTGGTGAATCCATGTTTTGGTTTGAACGCCATATGCTAGTCCTTTTCCAACCTGACCCTATGTCAGCTAACATTGCCCGTCCAGGAAGGCGATCGATGGTTAGGGATGCATGCGTACCACATGTCCTAACCATCTCAATCGATGTAACTTCATAGCCTCGTCTATTGATTTCCCCTCACTCCTTATCTAGCACTCGACTCGTAACCTCAATATTGCTCACCCTATTATACCACTTCACACGGGAGACAGATACCTATGATCAAAGACAGCTAGCCAAGATTTTCATTTCTACTCTCAATGGCCAAGTTTTACTCACAGCCATAACGGAGGACGGGGCGGACTGCTGAGCAGTACATATGTCCTTTGGTCGTTAAAGGTTACAGTTTTTAAGCAGTTAGTTTTAGATTACGAAATTTATTACTGAACACTACGTTTAGTGTTCTCGTTTAACCTATCAAATTCTCCTGTCTCCCTAAAAGCAATCTGATTAGGACGCGTGATTTATGTAATGTAAAAACCTCTGAAATGCCATCCGAAATGTCTTCCAGTGGTCGATACCCTCACATGTTGTAGCATATAATTGGCTGAGAAACATCTCGAGAAGTATTAATGATCCCGATATTTTATTTATTTATTTATTTGCTCGTTTAAATATTTCTAATTGTTCCCTATGAAAAACCATCTGTTATATAAGACGTAACTGTAGTTGAGCAAGCGTCGGTGTTTCAGACGTAGGAGACTCGCCAATCGCGCTAAATGTGGTCCGGGGTTCGATTCCCGGTTGACGCACTCCCAAACCTTGTCATGTTGGTGGCAGCAGTAAAGCTGGTAAACAGGAAACGTTGGGTGTGAGGTGAGCAACCTCGCCCTGTAAAACTGAAATCACTGCTAGCGAAACTTCAAAGCGTAAGCTTGAAGCCCCAAGTTCCACTTCTCGGAACGTAAAGGGAATAAAATAATAAAACGAACTTTAGACAAGGAGGCCTGCAAAATCATACAAATTTAAAATTCGAAACGTATGTTATTTAATCACTGGTAGATTGAAGATGCGCCCTTGTCTTTCTTATGGAGTTGTCAGTGATTGGTAGTGCTTCCATTGAGACTGAAACCTATCACCGATAGCGTTATTCATCAGACGAATACTGAGCCGTGATGGAGATGGAGTTCATTAGCACACAAGTACTCGGCTTGTAGTTAGTTAGCGAGTCCTAAGTTCTAACCGCCTTACACCTGTGTCATCCCAAGTAACACACTGTAAAGTGTTCATGGCTCAATGTTAGAGGCTTGCCGACCATGCGCGGGAGTTCCTGGTTCGATTGCTCATCAACACACTCCTAAACCTTGCCTTACCGGTAGTAAACCGTGTAAACAGGGGAGGTTGAATGTAAGGTTAGCGACTTCACCCCGTAAAAGCAGCGCTTCGGCTACTAAAACTTCGAAAATCTGAAGTTATGTATTCCAGTGGGAACACAAGGAATAAAAAAAATAGTTTGTTGTGTGATAATCCTTTTCTGACTAACTGGGACGACTTATGTTTCAATAAATGGATATGTTACGAGCACTTACACAATTTATATTACTCATCCTACTGTAAAGTGATTATTGAGTTACAGTATCCTGGCCGCTTGCTTAAAACTGCGGTTACCGAGAACAACCTCCATCAATATTACATTGCAAGTAATTCCTCTGATTCAATTTGTTGTAATCTAGTAGAATATGACCTCTAATAGTAGCATATATTGTTTACTCTAACGAGTATTTAAAAAGTCTGCTACCTGCTGATTTGCAAGTCTCCACTAAACATGAGACAAAGCAAGCATTATCCAGTTAGATGGATGGTAGCCTGTCCCAGTACATGAGGTAACTGTTCCTAAGTGGTGTCCTTAGTTCACAAAATGCACTCCTGAACTTTTTATGATTGGCTTTCAACCGAATGTCATAAATTTCTCGAAGAAGAAAAATGAAGAAACGATTTCATCATAATGGATTGGTTTGCGCTTCAGGTGAGATAGAAAGAACTGTGTCACACGATCTACTGTCAATTAACTAATCTTTTATTTGAATATCCTGGAGGAAGAGGAAATATCATGCAATAAACTCTGCTGAAAATTCTGTTCATTATATAAACACTGATCAGAATAAAGCTGCTATTATTAATTATTATTATTATTTATCAATTGTATACTAGTACCACTTTATACACCCTCAATATTATTATTATTTCTTCTGTTTTAGATTACAAATAGTGGTAATTGGATGCATATTAAATACCAGAACAGGATACAAGCTCGTTATGCTTTGAATAAAAATGGAAAAGTTTTTGGTGATAATATTATGGTTGGTGTATCAGTGTGTACTGATCCAGTAAGCTAATGATGGTTTACGTTGTATAAATTTTGTATACTCAGAGTGTGATCGTTGTGCTCCTATGGATTGATAAATTCTGTCTTATAAATCGTGCCAGTGAAGTAGTGTTTGAAACTGCGAGAAAGTTTGAGTAACAGAAGCACCTGAATTGATTATCTCTGAAAGTTATAGAATGACTAGTTGGCTTACTGACGGACTGACTGACTGACTAGTTTCAACATAGAACTTTGCACAGATGTACAGCAGTCCGAGTTGCTACACTCTCTGCATGTACCACACAAAGCATGAGAAGAGAGTAAAGAGAGATTCATCAAATCCGAGATAATAAACAGAAGTGTGAGTGAGGGAAAAAGATTAGTAATATGGAAGAACAGTAGAGTTTTATTGGATGTGATAAACTACAAAGAGTGAATGCATCTGCACCAGCCATTGAAAACCATTTTGAGCCATATCACCCATTGTCTCCGGCCTTCGTTGGTTCTTACCATCCCTAGGACCCCAACCAGTCTACATCTCCCTACGTAACTGGCTTAAACTAACTGTTGTGGGTTTCATTGACTGATGAAGCCATATTTTGTTTGACCACCAGTAGCTAGCTCTTTTCCAACCTTATCGATCCTATTTCAGTCAGCTAGCATATACCGTCGAGGAAAGCGATGGCCTAGTGTGCTTGTGTAACACATGTCCTAACCATCTCAATCGATGTAACTTCACAAACTTGTCGATTGACTTTCTCTGCTAAACCACATTGTTAATATTGAGGTTGTAGAATAAAGTCAGTCCAATAGCCGAACATATTTCTTAAAGAGTAAGTAAGTAAGAATATGTTTCTGTTATATGCAATATAAAATCATTAGAGGTGTTACTGACCTCAGGTCAGTCACTATCGTTTGGTTTAGAATTTCCGCACCGTAATGGTATCACAAATATCCTCTTTATATGTTGGCCTTCTGTCTATTTCACGTGAATCCTGTCCTGAAGTCAAAAATGAGTATTTACTTAGATTGGATACAAGTGAGTAACTAGTGTAATGTGTGTGTGTCTAGTCTTTTGGTTGGTGCAAACTGAGTTCTGTCAGTCAGGTTTGCAACATGGCTATCATGCCAGGTGGCTAGCCATCATGGTGCACTATGAACTGTTCATATGAGATGGTTGGAGGCGGCAATTGGAAGGAAGCCCTACCTGACCTAGGTTTCGTGCTTATTGGCACTCACCAGTCACAGCAAGGTGTACCTGTAATCTTGAAGTAAGTCACATCCCTTGTGAGATTCGAACACACATCACCCGGTGTGCTGCAATCAAAGACGTTACCATTGAGGTATCCGGGCTCGCGACTTACCTCCTGTAGAACTGTATTGGTCGGTCACGAATCGGAATACCTCAGTGGTAACGTCTTTGATTGCAGCACACCGGGTGATGTGTGTTCGAATCTCACAAGGGATATGACTTACTTCAAGATTACAGGTACACCTTGCTGTGACTGGTGAGTGCCAATAAGCACGAAACCTAGGTCAGGTAGGGCTTCCCTCCGATTGCCGCCTCCAACTATCTAATATCAACAATTCACAGTGACTATTTCACTATATGTAGTGTAATGGCTAACTGGATAGTGCAATTAACGTCTGTTTTTCGGCTCTGTGATACATGATTTGATGATACATGTGCATACTTAGTAAGTCTAGAAGATAACGAATTAAAGATGCTGGATGGTTGGTTGGAGGGTAGCTAAAAGGAATTCTCTTAGACGTGCCTTTCGTACTTACTCATACTCCTCAGTGAGGTATATTCGCAACCTTACTTCAGGTATTTGCTGCCGGTTCACTACCCAGTGCAGTGCTGCAATTGGAGACGTTACATTCGCTAAGTTATGCTGAACACGGCCATTATCATCGAATAAGGTGTAATCTCTACCTTTTACTAATTGATATTTTGAGATATCACTGAACTACGTTTTTCTGCTATAGTTCTATTAACATTATTGTATACGCTGTAGTCAACCCAGTAATTATTATTATTATTATTTCCTTTAATTCCTAGAGGAACATAGGGCTTCAGCCGTGCGTCTCCGTTGCGTTCGGTTCTCTGCTAGAGTCTTCACCTGGCTCCAAGTCTGCCCTCACGTTTTCATCTCCTCTTCACATGACCTCCCCCAAGTCACCCTTGCACTGACGACCAACTCGCCACTTCTTTTTCGGGTTCCACTCAAGGGCTTGTCTAGTGATGTCACTTGATGGTTTCCTCAGAGTATGGCCAATCCATCTCCATTTCTTCCTGCTTATTTGTTTCACAATCGGTTCTTGGTTGGTTCGCTCCCAGAGATCCCTGTTGCTGATCTTTTCTGGCCATCTGATCTTGAGTATTGAGCGAAGACAACTGTTAATGAAGGTCTGTAGTTTGTTTGAGATGGTCTTTATGACGCGCAGTGCAAGTCTCTGATCCGTATAGTAGCACTGACTTCACATTGGAGTTGAAAATCCGGATCTTATTTGTGATGCTGAGTGCTGTTGACCTCCACACAGACTTGAGAGTAGTGAAAGCTTGTCTTGCATTCCCGATTCTTGTTTTGATATCCTCGTCAGTTCCGCCTGTAGTTGAAACGATGCTTCCCAGTTAGGTAGGCAAAAGAGGTTGTTTCTTTCAGGTTCCTCCCATTTATACTGATCGTTGTCTGTTGTTGTTGTTCTTGTCCAGGAATCTTCATTACCTCTGTTTTCTCTATGTTCACCTGAAGTCCTATCTTTGATGCTTGTTCTGCCAACTTGTTGCTTTTCGCTTGCATATCTTCCAGTTTGTAGGAAATCAGACATATATTATCGGCGAAGTCAAGATCCTCCAAGTTTTTTGTGTGGGTCCATTTTATGCCTGTTTCCTCATTGCCCGCTGTTTGACGCATTATCCAATATACTGCAATCAGGAAAATCATTGGCGATAGTAGGCAGCCTTGTCTTACTCCTGTCCTCACTTCGAAGGATTCTATATTTAAATCTTTTTCCATAAAAAGTGATCTACTTGTGCAACCGAATGCCACAGGTCCTGGCGACTTCGACTGTTTTATACCACTTGCGTTGAAACTGGCATAGGTTTTTAGTTTTTTTTGTTGCATGTTGAAATTTTTAGAGGTAACGAACTTTTCTGATGCTTAATAGACGGTGTTTGATGAATATGACAAACTGTGAACAGCAGTTTGGAGTAATTCTCCTTTTATAACTTTTTGTAAAAGACTTACAATACCAAATTTTTCATGCAACCGGTTCCCTTTATTAGTTTGAAAAGAGGAAGAATGAACATGTTTGCAGGATAATACGAGCTCGTTTTATTTCGTGGATTCTCATCAACTGCATGCATCCTAAACAAAATCAAATTATAGGTTTCAAGAAAGTTGTGGAACATACTTTTTCATAAATACTTTGAGTCATAGATAGAAGGCATAAGGAACATAATTCCAGAATTTGATGTAGGTAGACAGGTTATTCGGTGTCAAAAAACAACTAATTATATATAGTGGAATTAGATAAGAGGGGTAAGAGTTCAGATTTCTATTGGAAAACAACACAGATTGGTTAGAGGCATATTACAGGGTCAGGGTCAGAGAACAGAGTGAATTTACACATCTTGTGGTGGAGAGTTTAAGAGGGTGGGGGTGAATAGTGAAGTAACATTTATAACTTAAACAGACAAACAATTGAGTAGATTTAGAAACTTGAAGGTCGAAATTGAATAGAATGTTACGTAGCAAGACAAACACACAGGCGTACTGACAGAAAGGCAAAACAAAAATAAAATAAAATAGAGTTAGGGTTACCAAGGTAGTGAAAGATTAATCACACTATCTTTCTGTATACAAAGGTCTGGTCGAAATCTCTTGATAGCAATGGCTTCTGCGAAGCGAAGTAGCCGTGGGTTTCTTTGTGTATTGATTATTTTGAAGGCTTGGCTGATTTCTATTGGGATGGGCCGCGTTGAGTTTCTCAAACATTGTGGACGCGTGTTCTATATCATTGCAAACCACAAACGTGTCGTCGACATATCTGCAGTAATAGGTGGTTCTTTCTATTTCTTCTTTCATTTGAGTGTGTTCAAGATGAGCCATGAATATGTCAGCAAGAACAGGACCCAGAGGTGAACCCATAGCCACCCCGTCAATCTGCCGGTACAGCTGATTGTTGAATCGGAATTGAATATTCTTTGTACATAGAAATAACAATTTGCGTAGCTCATTTTCTGGAAGAGAGAGCAGTTCGGACTGCTGGCATATGATTTTTACTGTTTCTTCGATGGGTATGCTGGTAAACAGTGAACAAACGTCGTCTGACACGAGAAGTCTAACTCAACGCGGCCCATCCCAACATCGCATTCACAATTGACTACGAAAGAAACAACCAATTCCATTTCCTAGATGTCAACATAAAAAGAAGAAACGATGGGACAATTCAAAAATCTGTCTACAGGAAAGAAACTTGGACTGGTCAATACCTACATTATCATAGCTTTTGTCCAACCAGTTACAAACGATGTCTAGTAAAAACGCTCTTCAGCAGAGCCAAAGAAATATGTTCAGAAGACAAGATTGAAGAAGAACTTGAGATCATCGAAAAGAACCTTATCGAGAATGGATATCCTCGAAAGTTCATATTAAAATATAGAAATGAAGAAGTACACAAACCGAAACCCGACACCGTTGAAAAGAAACCAGTTTTCATCTGTCTAGCGTACAAAGGGGAAGACGTATCCACAAGAACACAAAAAAGAATCACAGGTGCATTAAAAAGAACGTTTCCAGCCGCCAGACTGATCCTACTTCACAACACTGTGTGCTCGTTAACCCAGTCAAAAGTAGATGAGTACCCTACTCACGTCAACTCCAACTGCATTTACCAATTCACGTGCACCTGCGGAAGCAAGTACATAGGAAGGACTGAGAGGACAGCATCTACTAGATTTTCTGAGCACATTCCTAAGAGTCTCCGTACAAAAGGAAGAAAAGTGTTATCAAGTGCAATCGCCAGACATCTAATTGACACAGGACACACAATAGAAATCAGCCAAGCCTTCAAAATAATCAATACACAAAGAAACCCACGGCTACTTCGCTTCGCAGAAGCCATTGCTATCAAGAGATTTCGACCAGACCTTTGTATACAGAAAGATAGTGTGATTAATCTTTCACTACCTTGGTAACCCTAACTCTATTTTATTTTATTTTTGTTTTGCCTTTCTGTCAGTACGCCTGTGTGTTTGTCTTGCTACGTAACATTCTATTCAATTTCGACCTTCAAGTTTCTAAATCTACTCAATTGTTTGTCTGTTTAAGTTATAAATGTTACTTCACTATTCACCCCCACCCTCTTAAACTCTCCACCACAAGATGTGTAAATTCACTCTGTTCTCTGACCCTGACCCTGTAATATGCCTCTAACCAATCTGTGTTGTTTTCCAATAGAAATCTGAACTCTTACCCCTCTTATCTAATTCCACTATATATAATTAGTTGTTTTTTGACACCGAATAACCTGTCTACCTACATCAAATTCTGGAATTATGTTCCTTATGCCTTCTATCTATGACTCAAAGTATTTATGAAAAAGTATGTTCCACAACTTTCTTGAAACCTATAATTTGATTTTGTTTAGGATGCATGCAGTTGATGAGAATCCACGAAATAAAACGAGCTCGTATTATCCTGCAAACATGTTCATTCTTTCTCTTTTCAATGCGAAATTTTATCAATATGTCTGATGTTATTATTTGTATTCCCCATTATTTATTGATTATATATTTTTGAATTATTGTATTCTTTTACGTTCGGATGGGGGAACATAGAACTTCAGGCTTCTGGAGCTTTGAAGTCTCAGTAGCAGTGGTTTTTTAACGGGTTGGTGTTGCTTGTCAACCTTGCCCTCTCAAGCTTCCCTCCTTGTCGGGCTTACAGCTGGGTTCGGGGGTGGGGTAAATGTGTGCGCTGTCTGGGAATCGAAGCCCGGACCATGTGGGAATGATTGGCAAGCATTGTATCGCTGAACCACCGAGGCATGACTACTGATTGATTATATGAGACTGAAATCCTCAATGACTATCGATGGACGCTCCAACAGAATCTGAAGATTAACACGGTGAACCAGAGTTTGCTATCACTTTGCTCTAGAAGCCGACATGTCAACAGAGACTCAGCACTCTGATCCAGTGTCACCAATCAACACAGGAAATGCAACAACTAAGTTAAACAACAAATAACAGCTAATAACTGCTGCCCCTCCCCATACAGTGGCCTAGTGAAAAACTATGTGTAGTGCTTGAAACGTTGGATGCTAAGTTCGAGTCTCAGCGGGGGGAAAGAGGGGAAAGTGTTATCATTCACTGCGAATACAGTCACATTATCCTGCTGATGAGCTCCGGATCAGACGAAAGGTGCATTTTAGTTCCTACTGCAAGCCATTTACCACCATCTCATGTTGCTTTACACTAATGGGATTATTGGCAATTCTAATTATTTATTTACTTATTGCTTTCTTTTTGTTCATCGACAGCAAGTAATAGATGGAGAAAAGTCCGGTGTGTTTTGTAGACAGACAAACACTAGTAATATAAATGATTCTGTATTCCTTAGTCCATCGAATAACAACAGTATGAACAATATTCGCCGTGGTATCGATGATGCTAACAATAAAACAACTGGAACAATGAACAGAACTCCGAATAGAGACATGGGTGGATTAAAGCCGCCATCATTAAATACTGGAATAGATTCTGGCAATAATATGCTTACAGACAAACCAGTAGGTAGTAGCATTGGCAGACATAATTCAATGCGATCGTTGGCTGCATCTAATCGACCAACAAGTCTATCAAGAACAGCAAGTGTAAGTTGACCAACTCTCATTTCATGTCCTTTTCGCTTTCCACTCCCCACAATCTGCTTAGCTATTATTTTTATTTCCCTCCAAAGTTTAAGGATTTCGTTTACTATAAATGCACATAGTGATTTTAGTGAGGGAAGGTCAAAAAGGCCATAGCTTTCGTCAGTGTCCGCGACTATGAATCTGTAACCGGATAAGACTTGGTAAGGGACCTTTTTGTTAGTGAGACTCACCGTATTTATACGTTTTTAGCTATATTTATGGTCGACTAGATCAACGGATAATAAACTATTCTGATTGGTTGTTAGTTTTCTGAAGGTCAAACTTTTGGGACGTGAAGTTGTCTACTGACAGTAGGTTGTTCTGATTAGTTGTTGGCTTTTTAGAGGTTAAATCTTGAGGTTGTTTCCTGACCACAACGTAGGCGAGCTGCAGATTTGAGAAATAAACACTTCTACTTCTGTAGCTATTGCTTCAAAATGTTGTTACTTCCTATCAATCTGCATCTATACACTATTGATAAATCTTGTTAGTAGCACATGCTGCAATATAATAACATAGTTAACTGGAGGGAGAGTTTAATCACCGAATCTTTGCTGATCGAATCATCCGATATATTGGATTATTTTCTACCACGATACCCAAACTCTACTCTTACACTTAGCCTGAATAATTGTTGCAGTTATTGAATGTGCCAAAAATAGTAGTTTCTTCTATAGCCTGTTATGGAATTGAGTGAAAGTGCATAGTATCTACCAGTCAACGAGGTATGAGGATGTAAGTGAAGTGCGTATCTAGGCATGTTTCTATGAGAAATTTGTAGTAGTATTAGTAGGAGTAATCGTGAGCAGAGTAATATAATAAACTTTGTGATCAATTTTGGTCACGGATTGATATCAGTTAGAGGACCATTAAAGAACCTAGGAGTACTGGACTGGCGTCTCATCCAAGTTCTGGACTCTTCAACAGTACTCACCCATGGGGTTTCGAACCTAGGACCTACTGGTTACAAGGTGAGGTTGTAGGCCATAAAGCCACTGGGACACCTGCCTGATCCGATGGTCAGTCCATGAATTCCATCTTCTGCTAATTCACGATGTTTATAGCGCAACCGCCAGTCAATGTCATGGTCGAGTAACTGTTCTCCTCCCTGACTTGGTGGACTCCGCTGGTTGCGGCTTCTCACTAGAACTCCACGTAACTTTCTGTATACAGGCAGTTGCTAGTTAGCATTAGATTAACTATCAAGGTGTTGGTTTGCGGGGATTTGACTGGTCACAGGATTTCATCATGAGCTGACATCGGTTAGAGAACCACTGGAGAACCTGGGTGGACTGGACAGGTGTCTCATCCTGGTTCTGGACTCTTCATCAGTACGCACATATGAACAAGTGAAGCTTAGTAAGAAATAAGCATTCTAAGTACTGCATATCAGCAATTCCTTTTAGAATGAAACTCAGCGATTGTATACAGACCAAAATTGTCGATGACTACTTGAGTTAACATTTTACCTCGTTCAGATTATACTTAACTGATATAATTGTTTACAAACCCCTTTATTCCTTAATTTGTGTTTTTTTTTCATTACTGCAGGTTCGACAGGACAGGGATTCTGGATTAATATCCAAAGCACTCGGCTACATGTTTGGCTGGTCATAAATTTGAAACCAATTTTTGGGTATTTACCAGTTTCGATTGTTGGTAATACCGGATATGTAGTTATGGTTTTCTGAGATTCATCTTATCCTATGCCATATTGTAAAATAAAAGTATAACGTTATGATCACAAAACATTACACATTTTTTTGACCTAATCCCCTCTTTTAACGCGAAACGTGATACACGTATGCACTTATCTGTATTAGTGGGGCATAAGTGTGTGTAGTCTTGCGGGTTGTTGATTGTGAGGCTAACAAAACCTATAAATCATGGTTTAAAATTGACAACTGCGTAAACGCAGTCATGTTCTGGACTCCCTATGCTTATCTTCGTTTTAGATTAGAAGAGAGAGCCTTTTTCAAGTTGAGTTACACTTGCAGGACGGGTGTTAAGCGGTATAATATAGTGGGAGATATTTAAGTTATGTGTGTAGGAGAGTTAATCAATCAGTTTGTGAAGCTGCATCGATTGAAATGGCAGGGGCACATGTTACGCATGCACACCAAGCCATTGCTCCTCCTCGTCGATTGATGTTAGTTGACGTCGGGTTGTGTTGGAAAGCGAACCGAAACATGGCAACAATGCATGCAGTTTTAGGCTATGCGTTTAATCCATGTAGGAAGGTGCAGAGATGCTGGTGACCACCAGTGGCTTGAAACTGTTGGTAACATTTTTTCTTTCTGTATCTGTATGTGTATGCTATTATGTGTGTGTATGTAGAGTGGCAACTTTGAAGTGTTACACTTTATTGCATGTTTGTGCGTTGAAAATTCATTCCAGACTAGCCTGTATGAGAGTAGAGAAGTGTCTGTTAATTATTTGAACCAGTACGTAATGGTTGCGGCCAAAGTGTCGTCAGTGTCATGCTTAAGAATTTTACTATTATTCTTTTTATTCCCTTTGGTTCCGAGTGGAATACAGGGCTTCAACAGCGCATCTCCACTTTGTCCTATTCTCTGCTATCCTCTTTAGGCAGGTCCACGAATCGTCCATAATCTCTCATCTCCTCCTCACAACACCAATCTCCTCCATGTCACCATTGACCACACTCCCGAATCGTCGTTTCCCCCATTCTGATTCCACTGCAGCCATGACTTCACATGCGATGTCATTCGACGGTCCCCTCAGTGTGTGTCCAGTCCATCTTCATTTTCTCCCACATATTCGTTGAGCAATCGATTTTTTTGATTGGTTTGTCCCCATAATTTCTCGTTGCTGATTCTTTCTCGCTGGCTATTTGATCTTTAATATGGATTCAGCGAAGGCAGCTGTTGTTGATAAATGTCTGCAGTTGGCTTTTCGAAATGGCGTTCGTGATCCGCTGGCCACATTTCTGACCTATATAGAAGAAGTGACTGGCTTAAGATTGGTGTTGAAAATCCGAATCTTGTTCTTTATGCTGGCTGAGTGCGGAGGATGTCCAAACTGATTTCAGAGTGATGAAGGTTTGTCTTGGCTTTCCAATTCTGGCTGGCATTCACATCCTCACGCGTGCTGGCTACCTGTAACTGAAACAATGCTGCCGAGATAATTGAAGGAAGTAACCTCTTTCAAATTTCTCCCATTGATGATGACTGGTGCTATTTGTTCTTGATGTAAGTATAAAACTTGGGCACAGTGGTAGAGTATAACTCCATTATAGATAAGATTTTATTTTCATAAATCACACAGTGTTGTACAGTTATATTAACTGATGACTTATCGAGCACAAATTATTGCTCATAATCATATGTCTCCGACTTTGCTCTGATCTGTGGTTTTGTGGTTCAGTTTCTGAATGCCAAACTTGAGTTGTGGCCTGTCTCCATTTGTTTTGAGGGATTTCATCTTCACCTTGAAGGTTCCTAAAACTAGATGACGGTGTGAGCCCACATCT